ATAATGTCTTCAAATTTGTTTTTCGGAAGTTTTCGAGGCCGCTGATTACGAATATAAGGTCAGAATTGTAAGTTTTCCAAAATTCAAGATGGCGGACGCAATATCAAGATGGCGAATCGAAATCGTGACAATTAGATCGATTCACGTCAAACCGTGTATTCGGGGGTTTTTGGGATGTCTGATTACGAATCTGAAGTCGAAATTGAAAAACTCAAGATGGCGGGTCCAATATTGCGGATCAAATTATGAAAATTAGGTCGATTCGCATGGAACTGTATATCCAGGGACTTTCCGAGTCGCTGATTACGGATCCGAAATAAAAAATAATTCAAAATGGCGGTCCCAATATGGAGAATTAAAAGAAAAAGCAGAGACAATATGTATTGCATAGTTAGTGTCTTACATGTACAGTGGAAGGAAGGGAAACAGTTTCGCTCTGATTTCAAGCACAAAGGAATATGCATTGCATATCTTGCAAGTCCACTTTGTAAATTTCTCGATTTCGACTTCAGATTCGTAATCAACGAGCCCAAAAACCTTCGGATACACAATTTGACGCAGATCGGTCTAATTTTGAGCATTTCAATCCGCTATCTTGAATTGTGAAAAATTCTAATTTCCGATCTCAGATTCGTATTCAGCGAATAAAAACCCTTTACAGGGGAGTTCGGCGAAAATTGCGCGTCGGAAAAAACGCTTATCAGGGTATGCTTCAAATGGTTAACAAGAGCGAAGCGAAAACTTCAACCATGGTAGCCTTCAAGGGTCAATTCCGCTTTTCCACTTTATACGACGGACCTCTCGCACCGAGCCAGCAACGCCAGCAAAGCCTCAAACGGTACACACGGTGCGCGTTTCTCGCTGCGGGCTTGGCTGATAGATTCGTTGCGCGCTGTTCTCTCCGTGGGCTGCACCGCGTGCCAGCGAGCATTTTTTTGTTTCACACGCATAATTCTCTCGCCGCGCGAGCCGGCCTGATATTTCCCATATGTTGTATTATCATGCACAACCGCTATTCCCGACACACACATACAACGCGAGCTGCTATCCCCGATACGTCACACCACGCGTCCTCGTCCTCTTCATCTAGCGTGCCGCAAAAATGGCACACCGCTATGCCGAAAAGCGCGACCTGCGAGCACGCAAAGCGCGTCTCGCACAACGAGACACTCCTAGATAACTCCTAGATAATGACAGTGCATTGCAAGGGCAAGTTGTTCCAATTCCTTGGTAAGTTAACTGATGGTTAACTACATACGTCTGTCTTCGTTTAAATTGAAGGAAAAACAAAGATAAACATATGATTTAACTGTCGGTTAACTCATCAACAAGTTGGAATAACCGGCCCATAGTATACCTATCTTCGGCTCAAGGGTCGACAAGAAGAATCCTACGAGCGAAGCTCGTAGATTTCGGACTTTTCGTTTCCCAAAGCACGACATGCTCCCAGATAGATTAAGAGAGGACATTTTCTCTCTCTCTTTCTCTCTCTCTCTCTCTCTCTCTCTCTCTCTCTCTCTCTCTCTCTCTCTCTCTCTCTCTCTCTCTGTACATCGAAAGCAATACCTTTTATCGAACGACTCTTCGCGTCAAAGACCTTATCAACAGGTATTTCCCTACGATCCGCGATACTCATTGATTGGATGGCCGTCTCTCTCCGCCGTGCTCGTGACTTCGTGTTAGATTTGAGTCCGGAAAAGCGACTTGGCCGATGCGAGCGTGGTTAATCTGTCCTACCTACTTCTCTATTATCTGCTATGCCTCGCCGGCACTCAAGCGTAGCCCTGGTAACCAGTGCCGTATGTGACCGCCGGGCGACTCAGGAATCCGTTAACGAACCGGCACGGCAACTCGAATTGTGGCCCCGATATTCCGACGTGAACTTGCGCGACTTGATACTCTCGCGTGGTCCTCGCGGCTCCGGTGACGTCGAGCATCGAGACGGGCCGCGGTGCGGTTACAGCGGCCTGCGTAAACATTCCGTTTTCACTCCGATCCTTCGGCCGCACGGCGAGGGCCCCGCGAGATACTCCGCGAATCCAAGGGATTTCCGAGTGCCGGACGAGTTCCGGGACGGGACACCGCGCATAGGAAGAGAGTCGCGACATTCTCGCCGCCAGCTACGCGCGCAGAGATGCACCGCTACGCAGAGACGCACAAATCAGTTACCCGACGACGGAAAACGAGGGAAAGGAGCGCGTCACGGCGATGGCACTACTTACATTTGATGAGGACAACCCCATTATGCAGTTCCTCCATCTCGCGGAGGCGAATGTTCCTTGCAGTCGATTTGCTTGCGTAGTTCCTGTCTCTTTTTCTCTCTCTCTCTCTCTGTCTCCTCTCTCACACACACGCATACATCTCTCCCTACACGCACACACACACTCTCTGTCTCTCTCTGTCTCTCTCTCTCTCTCTCTCTCTCTCTCTCTCTCTCTCTCTCTCTCTCTCTCTCTCTCTCTCTCTCTCTCTCTCTCTCTCTCTCTCTCTCTCTCTCTCTCACTCACTCACTCACTCACTCACACACACACACACACACACACACACACACACACACTCTCTCTCTCTCTCACTCACTTAACCTCTCTCACTTTTGACATATTCGCAGAAAGCGACCCACTACAAATTCACACGCGCGCGCGTGCGCGCGCGCGCGTAGCTCACGCCTACACGTATACGCGCAGCGCGCGGCGCACATGCGTTCCGCGGGACAGAGGACGGTCTCTCTCGCGCAGGAGGAACAACGCGAGACGCAGGCAGAAACGAGGTAGAAAATCGCCTGACGCAGCACGTGCGCGCACGCGGCCGGCGCGGCCCCGGCACACGATTAATAACGCCGCGGCATCCAACGATCAAGACACACCACCGACGAGGCCGACGAGGAGGAAGCGATGCGGCGGCGGCGGCGACGAAGCGAGCGGCGAACGAAGCGGCGGCGAGTCGTCGTCAACATGGCCGTGCGCGCGCGTGTTCTGCCCGTTGTTCCCGGTCTCTCCGCGCGCGCCTCGTTGCTCCACGTAGTAGCCGCCATACACTAGAGCCCAGGAGGTTGTGAAGTGTAAGAAGCGAAGGGCACACGGAGGAAACAGAGAGACGCGGAGCGAGCGCGAGCGGCGCTCACGGAACTGCGAAGGACGGAGGAGGGGGAGAGGAAGGAACGCGAGCGACACACGCACCACGCGAGAGAGAGAGAGAGAGAGCGCGAGGGGGTATGTATCGCGAGCCACTGAGCAACGAGAGAGAAAGTACGTGCGATCGAGAGTGAAACACACACAATGCCGCCGCACGGCCGCGTTCGAGAGCGCAGCTGTGCACACGAGCGTGCGAGAGAGGAAGAGAGGAAAGTGGAGTAGGGGTGAACGGGACGAGAGACGAGAGACAGTGAATGAATATAAAAGAGAGGAAGAGGCGCGGTGCAAACCAAGAGACGAGAAGAAATGGGAAGGGAGGAGGGAGGAAGGAAGGAGAGAGGGAAGGAGAGGAAGGAGTGAAAGACGAGGGAGGGAGGCAAGCAGAGGGAGAAAGAGAGAGGAATATAGCGTAGCTGTGTCGCAAAGTCGAGATAGCAAGAGTGATAAAAGAAGATGGAAGATCACTTCGCTTCGGCGGACCACCAAGCAGTGCTGTATTAAGGTCTATACACACTATATACGTAACGTGACGTCGAGTTGTGTAACTCATGTACGTTGACCACCATCAGCCGACGGTTATCATTGTCGTCGAGGCGATGATCGTCAGCTTAGGCTGACAACATACTTTTGATGACTATCATACCGATTGGAGATCATAGATTGCACTCGGCCACTTCTTTGGACATTAAAGGTTTCCAGGATGTAAGTGACTTGGCAATGATGGTCATGATCCTTGATGAAGAAAAGGAGGAGCAAGATTGGCGGCTCAGTAGAACAATTGTTAGCTCCATCAGTGTGAAATTTTTATTTTTATGATCCTATTGCTGCGAAGGTATTCAAGGAAATACCTACGATTTGCTTCCACGTGCAATGTGAAAGTCACAGTAAGCTTTGGGAAAAGTACCTTACCGAAATTTAAAAAAGTACCTTAGTAAAGATCCTGCAATAATAAGGATGTGGACAGGAGTACAGCTCAACCGGTAAATATACTATGCGAGTACATTTAGTACCATTTCCACTGATGCATTCTGTCTAGACGGCGCGCCATATTTGTATAGTACAGTCATATCATTACAGATAAGCATAAAAAATGCAAGTAAATTGAAAAAAAGCCAGGCAGCATAAAATGGACTGAGATGAACTTTTCAATACTTTGCGACGGTATCGACGATCTTAAAGAAAAGTCCTCTATCGGAAGAGACTCAGAAAGAGCCCATACTAGCATTATTTGTGAATATCTAGGAATCAATTCTTTTCAGTTGTAAGCGTCACCTTTTCAGCGCGGATTATCCCAGAACTATCCCAGGAACGCCGTGAAACTGGTCGAAATTCCTATACTCCCCCCCTCGTATTGCTAATCTCAGTTTCCCCTCATACAAGACCCTGTCGATGCATAAGAGCAAAGAAGTTATACGTGTGTAAGCAGAACACGAGAGAAATAAGGATAGACAGTGAGAGAGAGAGAGAGAGAGAGAGAAGGGGGGAGGAGCAAAGGAAGGAGGGAGAACGTTCCACGTGATCTCGCATCTGCTTCTCCACCGAGTGACCCCTCGGCTGACCCCTTCCAAGTACCAATAATTAACTCCATTCGCCAAATGCACACGAGCGCCACGGGCCGGGTATGAGCACTGAATACTCGCGTTATATCGCGAACAGCGTTCCCATAAAAGAAAGATTACGCGTACTTGGGCAGTTACGTGTGTCACGACGACACTGTCAAAATAGGTGATTACGTCTACGAAAACTGCGCAGGCACGACAGACACTCTCGCGTTCCATCTCCTGTCCGTGTGTACACTGTGTACCCCTTTATATTATTCGCTGCGAAGGTATAATCAAGTTTGAAGACTAAGTAGCCTATCATACTTACCACCAGCGGTCTTGTTACTGTTGCTATGGCCCAAAGAATGAAGTTTCTTCCAACCTTTCCAGCCTTTCTTCCATATCATAGCAGCTTTCGTTTTACGCTGAACGATCGTCGATTCCGGACAATTGCTTTTGCCCGCGCCTCTCCTTAAAGATCCCAAGACCGATCTACAAATTAAATTCAAAGGACTCAACAATAAACGCAATTCAACGCAAGATCCGGCAAACTATGCGCGAGAACGTTTCTTTCTCGCAACTTGCCGAGCTCATGCCCGACGAATCGGTACACGTGAGCAAGGTGCCTCTTCAGCAACGCACCTGTAACTAGCGCTGGAGCTTCCGCTGAAGCCGCTGTCCATGTCGCACCCGACGCGCGAGAGGAGATCATCGGCGAGGCCGACCGAAGGCAATAATTCCTCGGTGGAAGCGTCGTGGACTTCCTGCGGCACTTGCTCCTCGTTATTGTCGACCACGGACGGCATCAGCATCGCCTCGACGCTCAAATTGAGCTCCCCAAGCACACGTCGATGTCGCGATTGCACACGACGCACCTCCTCCGCTACGAGCGACCTCCGCGAGCCGCGCAACGCGCGATGGCATTGTTTGCTGGAAAAAATTTGTCATGGTTATACAAAGAACGCGCTTGAGAATAGGAAAGTGGCGAGAAACGACGGACATCCCCTCCCCCCGGCGAGAGAAATCTACCTAGAACCCGCGCCCGCCGAATTTACCGTCAAAACGAACACGCGAATACTCACTGCGGCACCCGACAGATTCATAATTAATCAAGTCGCGCACGTTAATTCGCACGTTCGCATCGAGGGAAAAACAAAGCGAGGTCGTGTCTCTCGACACAACGCGATGCGCGTGCACGGGTTATCTCGTCTCTCGGCGACTTGTGCGCGGCAGTCGAGGACGCTGGATGAATAATCCGTGACTTGTTTTCTTATTGTTCCTAGCTTAATCGTTATCTCCGACATCCGCTGCAAGATGCATTGAACCGTGGGGAACGATTGTTGAATTGTCGCTCGTTTATATATCACCGCGCAGCCGCGTATGTTAGCTGGGAAATTTACCCTCCGCGACCAATAAACTAGACTCTGACGTATAACGCGCGTTCTCTCTTCTTGATCGAGTTACCTTCGGCAAAGCGAACCGACGTAAGTGCAACTCTCAGATCTCTCTTATCAGAGCTCCCGATCATCGGAAACGTCGGTACGCACACCGTGGGTAACTTTATTGTACGCTATTTACCGATCATCTCGTAAATCCGCGAGATCGACTCTCGTTTGCGCGGGTGAACGTCACGCGATAACGAGCACTCACCTGATTTCTGATATCTCTTCATAAATGTTTTCTTCCGTGCCGTAACAGGTAGTATAAGTGTGTCTCTTCAGAGGATCGGATCTTGTTTGCTGCGGCTGTTGCTGCGGCGGTTGCCGTTGTTGTAGCTGTTGTTGCTGCTGCTGCTGCTGTTGATGTTGTTGCTGCTGTTGCTGTTGCTGCTGTGAAAGTACTTCCGTCGAATACGCGGCATGAAAGTGCCCGGCGTCAGGCTGATAATAAGCATACGAGTAGTCCAGAAGAGGATGATGTTGGTGAGAACTCGCGATCGGCGATACCACCGGCGACATTGGTTCCATCAATGTGGTGCACGACCTCTGCGGGGCAAGAAGAAACAAAGATCCCCATATAGTCGCAAAGAGAGACCAAGCCTCAAGCGTCCGCCACGTTAACGGCGGAGCTCGTTGCCGAAAAGCGGCGGAAAAATGAAACGAGCGGTCGAGAGGCTGCGCGTTATCGGCAACAAGGGGCAATTAACGACTTCGTCCCCATCTCACATCTCGGCCACTTACCTGAGGTGGCGGGTAAGGGGGAGGTGGGGGAAATTCCAGGTTGACTATTCGCGGCGACGGGACGCCCGATGTCATTCCCGGCCCCCCTAAGGACGAAGCCATGGCACATCGTTCAAGAAATTCGGATTAATTGTACGCCAGTGTGTTTATTCCCGGCCCCTGGCGTCCATCGGACTCTTCTGTAATGAAGAAAGAAGACAGTCGTTATCGTCCGCGTCTCCGTGCGTCTTGGGGCATTCTCTCTCTCTCTCTCTCTCTCTCTCTCTCTCTCTCTCTCTCTCTCTCTCTCTCTCTCTCTCTCTCTCTCTCTCTCTCTCTCTCTCTCTCTCTCTCTCTCTCTCTCTCTTTCTCTCTCTCTCTCTGTCTGTCTGTCTCCAGCCGACGAACGTCACAACAACGACGTTGAAGAGGACGATCGAGAAGCGTTCTTCCCGCATCCTGTCCCAAAATTACACGCTGTTATTTCGGTCGTTCGTGACGCGCATTCCAGCATTTCGAGGACTGTTACGAAATATTCATCTTCGCGGCTACGGCGGCGGCGGCGGCGGCGGAAGTGTTCCGCGTTTATCGTTCGAATAGAGGCGCGGATAGATGCAGGAAGGAAGCCCGGGTTCCGAGCGCAAAAGTGTCGGAGATAAGCGGTCCTGGTATCTTGCCCCGAGAGGATGCAGGTGAGGGTGTTTGTTCTATTGTGAACACTCGCACTCGCTGAAATTCGATTAATATTAATGTTGCCATTCCTCAGCCGACAATGTAACTGTTGTATAGGGCAGGGCGTTATGCATTATGCTTGGACCGCTGAGTGGGGAAATATAACGTTAAGCTCAGTGAAAATGTTTACCAGGATGACGGATGTATCTGCACCTTAAAGAGGGAAGGAGCGAAATCGCGTTTCTTCAATTTCCGATCAGCAAAGTGACTTCGAGTCCTCGACGTTTCGGTGTCTTTCAAGACTTACACTCGGGTTTTACATTTGAAATGCGCATAAATCACATGTTTGTTCTCAAATTATCAAGGCGAATCACAGTGTCGCCTCGGAATGTTTGTAAATTCCCAAATTTCTACTAACTGGCCCTTCCAAGGTACAGGATGTCTAATATCGGAAGGACTATGAATTATATTAATAGTCCTTCCTTATTTTAAGGATGGAGGAAGCCTCGATGAAGGATTCCTTGAATCTCCAAGGCCATCTTATTTCATAAATGGATCTCGAGTCTTCCTTCCAGAAGGAAGAAAGGCCGCGTTCCGATATTCACTGTCAGTACTGAAACTCTATAATATACGTGACACGAGCTATAGATTTTTAGTACTAGCAGTGGATATCGCGGAACGCAGCTATAACCTAGTATCAGTTTAGCAGTGCATATTACAATATGGATAAAGATAATAAAAGCGTACATTATACGGAGCGAATGCTCTTGATGCAGCTTATCGTTGAGGTTATCGAAAAAAAAAAAAATAATCCTTCGTCAGAATCACTTAAAAATTCGTTGTCCATTATCTTTTTTTTCCTTTATATACTTTCACTTTGAAAGCGCGACATCACAAGTAAATTGTGTAATGGGACAAAAGTAAGTATTGCAGGTTATGTTTAGTTTACTCTGCGCATCATGTTCTAAAAACTTATTGCACTTTTGTGCATTAGTTCAGAAGTGCAGCGAAAACGAACAGATTTAAGATAACATTTTCTCCTCAAGGAAGCTCGTGACTTCCCTTGAGATAAGGGAGTCAGTAAGGTTTCCTGTTTGGTCAAGAAAGGTTTATGAAATGTAAAATGAAGAATAAGGAATCCTTATTTCTCAAGGTAGGACTATGAATACGGATATAAGAGGCGTAATACGTCGATTGTGCCCGCAAAAACAATCGGCGACATAATTCGTAAATAATGGCGAAACTCTCAGTGCGACAGCACCGAGCTGAAGAAGATCCACTTCGCGCGCATCTCACAGGGCAATCGTCTTTACCCTTTTGCAACGCGAGCAATTATAATGCGAGATAAGTGATTAAGAACGTGAAACTGGATGAATAGCACGGTTGAGCATCCGTTTGACTCGTGATGTCTCGACTCGCGACGTGATTCCTTCGCGCGACATCGACGTCTTTTGATTGACTTTAAGAGGCTGAGGCCGAAAATTCGAAAAACCAAGTTACCTCGCGTAACTAGAAAAGCTCTCGTCTTCCGCAACTCAAAATTGATATTCACCGTTTTTTTCCCGCGTATACTCAAGTGCAGACGAAATTTCGCGGCTGCGCTTCGAAACGCGTCAAAAGAAAGTTTTCCATACTTTCCGAATTTACCGAATTTACAAATCACGATTGAACCGTTGATAAGTAACGGTCACGTTTTCAGAAGTTTTCATTTATACATCTGCCACCTCTGGAATCTAATTGCAATTCATCCAAAATTAAATAAGATCGGCCGATGTGGAAAATGTCCATCCTCTCGTTGCGCACACATCAAGGTTTTATTACTTTCCGGTGATAAAGGAATACTCGCTCGAGTCGGAGACTAAATTTCAAGCGAACAATATATATATATATATGTGTATGTGTGTCTGTAATATATGTTACACATCGGTCGCTCGACTCGTCTCGGTCAATTGATCGCGCCGAGTCGCGATCACGAGGTGTCAAGGGTGCGTACTCGGGCCCGGCCGTAATTAAAGGAATTACCTCGTGTAGGTGAGACCGGAGCACTACACACGGCAACGACACACACACGATCCTCCAATCTCGCGCGCGCGTCCGAATATTCGTGTGTCTCTCTCTCCCTCCCCCTCTCTCTCTCTCTCTCTCTCTCTCTCTCTCTCTCTGGAGCGGCCCGCCTTATCCTTCGGAGAATCGTCGTCGGGAAGACACGACACGGAGGACGGTTGCTTCTCGTTCGGCACAGCGCGCGCGTAGTTTGCCGCGAAGTGGCCGGCTGGGCCACACACGAGCCACAAGAACGATTCGTTTGCGCCTCGTGCTTAGATAGTTTCGCGTTCGCTCATTGTTGTATGTGAGCAAGCACGCCCCCTTGAGAAGCCAGTCGGCCGGTCGACCGGTCGACCGAGAAAAGCCGTGGAGAGAGAGTAAGCGAGAGAAAGAGAAAGAGACAGAGAGAGGAGAAAGAGGGGGCGGAGGAAAGCAAAGAGAAGGGACGAAAGATCGTAGGGAGAGAGGAGGGCGAAGGCGAAGGCGAGCACGACGACGACGACGACGGCGGCAGCGGCGGCGGCGACACAAAATGTTCCGAATGCTTCGACGACCGCTGCTGTTGCTTGATCGCACGACGCTTCACACGATCACAATAACCACGTTTGTTTCAGCCGCACCTCCCGCACTCGGCCGGCTCGAGACTCTTCCACCCTCGAACTCGAGCGTCCGTCTCTCGCTTCGCAGGCAAAAAACGCCGAGGAATGCAAAACAAACGGACGCAACATTATATCACTGCGCGTACATTCCGCGTCCACGGTGAATGTACTCGCGCGCACGCGTGTGTTGCGTCTCCGATCTAGCCATCGGCCACCGCGAATGATCAAAATTCCGATCGATCTCTCCCGGTCGGTAAATAAAAGCGCACTGACGTGCGGCGAGAGAGCGAGAGCGAGAGCGAGAGAGAGAGAGAAGGAGAGCGAGAGAGAGAGAGAGAGAGAGACAAAAGAGAAGATAAAGAGAATATGCGTTACCGCGAGATCAACGGAAACAAAGCGCGATCGGTAGATCCTCGCGTCGAGTCGACCGCCACGGCGCACGTACACTCGCGTAGACTACCGAGACGTACTCTTTCTCTCCCTCTGTCTCTTTCGAGAAACTCCGCGTATCCACCTTCTACACGAGGGTGCGTGCCACAAAGCGTGTACAAAACGTGCCGCTACGAACCCATGAACCTGCCGCCGGTCTTCAGGCTCGACTAGATTCGTCTCGTAGCAATCCGTAGTAGTACCGGTCCCGTGTGCTGACCCTCTCGGGACTGAGAGTGTCGAGTGTGAATAGCTGAGAGAGAAAGAGAGAGAGAGAGAGAGAGAAAGAGAGAATAAACGAGAGGAAGAGAGAAAGGAGAACGTGAGGAAGGGAGAGGGAGAGCGGAGAGAGAGAGAGAGAGAGAGAGAGAGAGAGAGAGAGCGCAACGATATCGTGATCCTTCAGATGCGCGCGCGTGTGTATTTCTTAGATGGCGCCACGACGATTCAGCGCTGCTGTCCCGACTGGAAGTCTGTTCTTTTTAGCTGCGCCTCCTGCACTTGTTGCGACTCTCCCAACTTCGTCCCCAATTTCCGGCTTTCAACCTCACTCTCGTACCTGTTGTTCGAATCCCGCCTTCCCCCTCCCGCGTCTTTTTCCCATGCTCCGACAAAATATCGTCTCTATTATTGTGAAGCGGACTTGCGCTCGAAGACCTTCGCGTCAGATCTACGCACACGTCTGCCAATGATGACGTCAGGGTTATCGCGTTTCGGACTCGTAATCGGGTTGTCATCGTTCGATACGCCGTAACTCGTTCGAATTTCACCTGTTCGAACATGCTTCGCTCGTGTGAGCGTCTTATATACCGTCTGGAGGCCAAGGGAAATCGTGAAAAATCGCTTCGCTAACAAACACCCAGATAGACAGACATGTTGTTGACGATAACATGCATGCATTCAACGTATATTATTTTATGATACTATTGATGAAGCGGCATAACATGTTTGTAATATGCTTGCCGTAAGAAATATTTTTTTATTATTTCATCCTTTGCAGCAAAATTTATGTATTTATGCTACTATTTTAACTCTTGAATTCAGTCTCCCCATACAGCACAGAAAGTTGCAGCAACATTGCCATAACGTTGCAACGTTCTAGCAATATTGCTGTAATTTTTGTACTGTATGGGTCCATATCTATCAGACAATCTGCCGAAATTTATCTATCTCGAAGGTGATGCGAGCGACTGCGTTCAATCACCTGATGAAATTTGAAAAACTGCCCGAATCTCCGGAGAGAACACGGGTTTCTGTGCTGCGTGATACGCAAGTGAAACGATCACGCAATCACGCGATAGCCAGAACAAACGGCCCGATTCTTCGACCTTCGATCTTGTGCAAATCTGATAGTCCACCGTACGCCGCGTTATCGCTCGATTCCGCGCGAGTCGCGCGAAGCGATTGGAAGCAACAAGCGATTTGTCGCAACCGGACGACGACTTCTCGACGATCACGAGAAAATCGAGCGAGACGAGCAACTTTCTTATCTCCGGCGCGGCGATACGGCCTCTCCGCGTTACGATTGCGTTTATCTCTCAGTCGAGCGCTTCGCTTGTTCGGAGCTTCCTCTTCCTCTTCCTCTACATGAGGATACATGACGTGAGGATACATAAGGTTCCTCGTGGTGAAAATGCCGGAAAACTCGGCCACGGATCGCGCTTGGCGACGGTGCGCCGTGCACGAGCATCCGCCGAAAGAGATTCTGCGGCCGTTCTCACCGCCTGCGCCGGAGAAGACTTTGACGGGTCCGGGTCCCAGCAACTGTTCGAATCGAGTCCTTGGTGCTCTCGGTTAGCAAGTGCTTGGTCATCTTCATCCCGAGATATGCCAGGTATTTCCGGGGCTTTCCGCTAAGAGCGTTGTATGCCACTGAATATTATTGATATATCATGCTACATCGTGCGCTCCTCTTGCTCTGCCTTGCTTGCGGACAACTTTGTGCGAGCGAAGGAGGATGTTAAAAAGAGGCCACTTTTGCTGCCTGCAAGTGAAAACGTGAAAACGTATTAGAGAATTGTAGAGAATTTGGATTATTTAAGAAAGGGGAGTGACATTTATTTCATCCTCAAGTGTTGGGAACATGGTTAGGATGAGCAAAGTTCAGTTTGTTTTATCTTCTGACGACAGGAAGCATGTATGCATAATTTCTTCTCATATTTTAGAAAGTATTTGATAGGAAGTATTTGACCGATATTCATGAAACTTGGTGTAAAGGGGTGTTGTGTAATGTTCTTTTCGAGTTTAGAGCCTTCACAATGGTGGACTCAATATCGCCGCCGTGAAACATTAAAAAATACAAATATTGTTGAAAATCTATGGTTATATTACAAGACAGTTTGAAGGCGCTCTTTTCAATTCTGTAGAGAACAACTCAAAATTCAAAATGACGGCTACCGTTGAAATGGTCAAAAATGGAAATATTATTTAATATTCATGAAACATCAGTTTTCGGTGGCTTAGCTTTTCAAACAGAGACAATGTTGTCTCTTTATTAGTTCGAGAAGGAAACCTCAATGCACAAAAATCGTACTTCCAACATATTGAGGCTCTTCAAATAGACTTTTTTTCCCTTGACGATTCTCAGCTTCAATTGTACACATGTGGCAAATATCAAATAAAAGTGGCGCAGAATTATTATGCGGATCACTTGAACAAAAGCGGGAGATTTTGAGTTTGAAGTAGCTAAGGAAACTGCACACATTAACTACCGTAAATACGGAATAGATGTAGACTTTAAATGGCATTTAAATGGCATTCTATTCAAAGATCGCTTACGTTTTAGGCACTCTAATTCTGTTAAGTATTTTATCTACCTGCTAGTCGATAAAACAATAACGGCTGGAATTGATGCCATTATTGGATATACCTGCAATTGCAAAGTCGGGCAAAGTCGATGTTGTAGGATGTTGTTCCCACGTTGCTACACTAATCTAGTCTTTTTTTGGTAAGGCACGCTTTTTAGCCGCTATCCCAATTCCCGCTCAACATCTGAACGACTATTTCAACATACAGTCTTCATCAGAATTAGAGGAAGATACAGACGACGAAAACTGAATAGATACAGTTTTCAATATTTTAGGAATGGCAGAGCTTATAAATAGATTGTAAATATTTTCTTATTCTACATAGTTTAAATATAGGATTTAAGTCTGCTGCTAACAATATGTTTATGTGAAACTGCGATCAGCTCCAAGAAGAGCGAAACTGGACATTCTTGAGCCGGTACGTTTCTTAATTCATTAGTGCTTATTAGATTATTCTTCTTCAATTAAATTCCTAAGCCCGAGAAGAGCATCAATGTAATTGTAATATGAATTGTAATATGAATTTCATGAGTTTCAAACAACATTTGCATTTTCAGACCATATTTCATCTGTCAACTTGAATTTCGAATTTTTGTTTTTACATTGTAAAACATCACTATCGAAAACTCATGTTTCATGAATATTAAATTATATTTCCATTTCTGACCATTTCAACGGTAGCCGTATTCGACCCGTAATCTTGAATTTGAAGTTTTTCTCTACAGAATTGAGAAGAGCGCGCCTTCAAACGCCCTTATAATATAACCATAGATTTTGAACAATATATTTGCATTTTTTTAATGTTTCGCAGCGGCCATATTGGATCCGTTATTTGGAATTTGGAATTTTTGGCTCCAAACTCGAAAAGAACATTACATAAAACTCCTTTACTCCTTTACCTAGTTCCATGAATATCGGTCAGATACTTTCTAAAATATGAGAAGAGATTATGCGTACATGTGCTTCCTGTCGTCAAAGGGTAAAACAAACTAAACTTTGCTCATTTTAACCATGTTTCCAACCATGTATCAGGATAAAATAAATGTCGTTTTCCTTTCTTAAATAGTCCAAATAACAATTCTCTAATACGTTTTCACTTTACACTTGCAGGCAGCAAAAATGACCTCTTTTTAACATCCTCCTTTTTCGTTTGTTTTCATCCAAGTGTGAGGAGCGATGTGTACTTGCTCACGATGTGTCGACCGCACACGCGGCATAAATGATTATTGAAATATTGAATACGCTAATGCTTCTTTTTATTTAATAATTAATCGGCGGGTACGCACAGAGTTTGAGATTAAGTGCGACTGTTTTTTTACAACGATTTGCGGAAATCGGCCGATCGAGTTAAAGTAAAGGCGGCAAATGTTTTCCCTCGCAGTTGATGGACGAAATCAAAGCGGGACTACAATACGCCTTTCAAACTAGGACCGACTTTCAAACCGACTCACCCTAGCACTGAGCACATCCAGTCACGGTGGGATGGAGGCTTGCTTGGGAAATTTGCTCGAGCCGGGCGATACCGTGCTGATCGCTAAATGTGGCATTTGGGGAGAACGCGCGGCGGACATGGCCGATCGCATCGGCGCGAAGGTAAGGTGAAGGTAAAGTGAAGGAAGCGACGGGGTGATGGGGGTGAAATTGACAAGTTTTCGCGAATAATTATACGGGGGAGGAGAGACATAGATAGGCCTATTTGAACTTTCTTTCACCGCGGCAAAAGTGTCTTACAGTCAAGCAAAAGGCATGTAAGCCACTCTCAGACCAACTTTTCAAAGTCCAAGGAAAAGATCACGTTTAGCGAAGATAGTCGGAACAACTCGTTCTTCTTTTGCTCGAAAGAATTGTCACTCCAGGTAGAGTTTCTGGAAACCGCACACGGCGTAGCTTTTGAACTGGACGACTTGGAGGCGGCTCTGAAGAGATGTCGACCGGCAGTCGTGTTTGTCACTCATGCGGAATCATCGACGGGCATGAAGCAACCTCTGGAAGGTGTCGGCGAACTCGTTTATAAGTAACATACGCTTTACAATGAATGCTTGCGATGTGACAAAAATTGAACGATCAAGCTCACTTCTCATTTCTCGTCGACAAACAGGCACGACGCACTGCTGATCGTCGACACCGTGGCGTCGCTGGGCGAGGAACCATTTTTCATGGACACCTGGCGAGTGGACGCGACTTACACCGGCAGCCAGAAGGTCCTCGGCGCTCCTCCAGGAATAACGCCGGTTTCCTTCAGCCCGCGCGCAGAGTGCATATAATAATCGATGTCCTCGAGCTGATCGTCCACGATCACATCGGACGGCCGTGCGACGCAGTTACTATCGAGGAAACCGCGACTAAGAATGCGCTATTACACGTACAGAATGTCAATCGAATCCGTGAGTCATCGTTGCGGTCTCTCAGAGGTGGTCGACTATTCGGTTCCCAGGTGAATCACACATACATATATATATATATCCGTCTAAAGCTCAGAGAGAATTCTTGAACGATGACATTTGCCACTCCGGTCAGTCCACAATCGGAGAGCTTCCTCCTGAACTGTTTCTCCTATCGAATCCGTAGCTTAGACAAGGATGTCACGCAAGCTACAGAAAATTTCGTAGCACGTAACTCCCGCTTCTTTGAGGTATGGACTCGAGACACACACACACACACACAATACTCGTATGTTAATTAATCATTAATTTCACACCTTGGTGAGATGACCAACGCGGGACTGAGCATTCGGTGTATTCGCACGGAGAAGAAAAGACCGCGATTGAACGAACGTAAATTTCTGCGTTAGAAACGAGTTTGGTTGTCAGGAGCAGACATTCTGTTTTCCTCAACGTCTTTGGGTTTTGTTTTCATGATCACAAATGCAACCAATTTTTTTTCCAATCGTTTTATTCCCACCGAGAGATTTGCATCTGGCGTCAATATTAGCAAGCCTAAATGTTCCATGGAAAAATCTGTGATAGTCGAGCATCATCGCACTGTCGTATCGCAGGAGCAAGATATTCCAGAGGAAGACAAAGTCGTCGGCTTTCTACTGGGACATGAGAATACTCGGGGATTACTGGAACTGTTTCGGCGGGCAACGCGTGTATCATCACACAATAAACGCCACGCTGGTGTACGGCTTGCGAGTAGCCCTGACGCAGCTCGCCGAGGAAGGACTGCCCGCTTCTTGGGCCAGGCACGCGGCGGCGGCCGCCAGATTCAAGCGGGGCCTTCGGACACGCGGTCTGCAGTGTTACGTCGAAGACCGGCGCTATCAATTGTCGACTCTTGTCTCGATAAGATTACCAGCCGGCGTCGATGGCAAGGTCGTGGCAGCGCGAGCCATGGAACGGTGAATTCATGCTCTAACACAATTGTCCTTCTTTTTCTTCTGTCGCCTTTGTCGCGTTGACAGGAAATTGTCGCATTTGTCACGAAGGATCTCCTCCTTCCAGGTACAAGGTCGAGATTAGCGGCGGTCTGGGACCAACAGTCGGTAAGATTCTGCGTGTCGGAATGACCTCGTGTCGTCGATCTCGTCCTTTGCGCCCTCGACGAAGGACTGAAATATGCCGTCTCAGCGAAAATATAGGTGGTTTACTATTTTGCGATCTTCTTATTGATAGCTAGAACGCCTCGAAGTTGAGTGTGGTTACAATCATCAAGCGACTTCAAACTGATCGCAGGGGAATTATTTTACTGTTTAATAGTCAGTAACAATCGTAATGATAATAATAACAATAATTTTTAATTAATAAAATGTTTTGGCACAGTACAGAATAGCATCGATTTCCATTCTCTACAGAAACTCTCAAAGTGCGCGTGTCACATGCTCTTTTCTCAGCGATGGCTCTTCTCGCGTAGAAATACAAAAGATTTATTTAGAATCATAGCGTTGTGTGTGTGTGTGTGTATGTGTGTGTGTGTGTGTGTATGTGTGTATGTGTACGATGTGTCGCATTGTCGCACCGTAACAGCACACTTTGTGGACTCGCGATTATTGCGATGAATCGTCAAGGAAATTGTATTGTAAACGCAACGCGGCGAAATATAAAATTTATTGCTCCGAAAACACCTCCAGTAACGTTCGCTTCCCGCTGTTTTCCCCTTTTCTCTTTTTTATTTTTTTTTAATTAATCATCACGCTAGATAACGACGACTTTTCCTCTCGCACGATGTAATATTTTACGTATACACTGTTAATCTCTTTACATTTTTTTACGTTAGCTATCCCGGTAAGATTAACCCGATATAAACGCTAAGCTCTTCTTTGAAGCCCTCGAGTTTCTATTCCAGTGTCCACGCGGAAACCGCACCGATAATCGGTATAGTACGTACAGTACGCTGATGGACCTTATTAAATGAAAGAGCATACATATATGTATATATATACATGAAGCATGTCGGAATAAGAGCATGCCGCTTAATTAAATAGTTAATGTTAATTCGCCTGTCGGTCTAAGTAGAGACCGATCACTTACACATGCGGATGACTTTAAATAATCGCGACGATAATAATAATCGACAATAAACAATAACATGCGCGGGGAATCTAGAATGGCACTGAAAGCACGCACGCACGCACGCACGCAACCTGTGAGCTAATGTCACCGAAGGTCGAGTAACCGTGCGCGAGCTTGAGATATCTGAAATCTTGTGTCAAAATACCTCGAGCTCGTAGCCAGCTCCGGTCTCGCTCGATCTTCGGTGATTCTGAGCCACGGACCTTCGTACTCCTCGTGAGAAGGGCTACAAACGCGGGTGTTCAAGAAACTATACTTCAATATGAAAAATTCAGGTCGACCTTCACATGGCTCTCCGCTCACGACGAAACTATTGCCACCATAAAACACGTGTCCTCGAGAGACCAGAAGATTCTCTAGTTTCGATTGTTCTTTCTACAGTTTCAAACAGCAGAGATATACTTCGAGCGGACAAACTTAGCGTGCCGCTTTGTATACAAGGTGTAAGCTAATTCGCGCGCGCACGCGCTCATTATGTACATAGCGCTACTCCTTGCGAAAATTTCGGCCACACATGAAAGAAATTTCGAATTCTTTCATCCTTTTCCGCGAAGCTCAGTGAAATATTGAAGATTTTCCAACTGAACTCTAGAACACGCTGCTGAAGTATTGTACGATACTATTGGGACACCCTGCATATATGCATAATATATAAATATTATACTACGATAATTAATGTAATGTTAAGCTAGAATATAAGATCATCTTCGACCGCTTAATCGTACACGTTTATATACAAATCGCTCGCATACTCAGCACGCTAACATCACTGACTACGCATGCATATTCATACGATAAGTAAGGCACTTATGGTACACGGAGAATCAACTCCTTTATATAAAATAGATTACGTCGAATAAGATAATGTTAAAATATTGTTAAGGCATATACGACACGCCTGGTGTTGTTCTGTGAAAGTCACTGATTCAAATCAAACGCAACTCTCAAATTATCATTTAAAGGCTCGAAAAACTTGAGAGGTGGGGATATCGATAGCCGTGCAAGTTTCTTCGCAAGTTAACGCCCTCTGAATTTCCATTACTGTTTCTATTTTTGTCTGTCGGCTACATTGCCCGATAAATCGCCAATGAAATTTACGAAACTTAGAATGGTGATACGTGAGACACGTGAGAATTATAATTAACATATAAAATTGAGAAACAGCCGAGGTTAGCTTATTGTCAAGTTTCGCTTTCGTATACTTCTAAAACTTATACATATTAGAATAGATATAATATATACGTATTATATATAAACGAGAAATATAATTAGGTAAGTATATGGCAAATCTTGTGTACCAGCTTTTAAAAATTTCACAGATTCACAGAGTCACATGGTCTTCGGTAATTTTGGTGACAAAAAGTAAGTTCCACACTTGTTAAAAGATTTACAATTGAGCGAATGTATGCGATTTCGCGTCAACATCGATCAATCTGATTATGCGGCTAATTATTCCTGAATCGTCAAAGAAAGAATTAGTTCACTTGTCGAGGTTCTCGAACAGTCCGACCGTAAGTAAGTAATTCCTAACAATAAATACAACTTAAATATATTATCAGAACATAGCTACCACTAAAATGAATATTGCTGCTTATTCGATCGTAGAACAATAAGCATATTGCTATATTTCTCGTTGAAAGAGTTACGCAGATATTACGCGTGGAACGTCAATATACTCTTACCAACGATCATTTAGATTGTAACAACCGCTATGAAGGATAATAAAAATGACGTAGCAATAGCGATATGCGATAATACCAATTACAATGATACACTAATCGTACCAGAGATCTAATAGAGTAGTTATAATACTATTAATACAAATGATAGTGAAAATAAAATAATAATAATTATCATAAGTTGGATTTATTAGTAAACATTAGCAATCGTGCGTAAATAACTGATATCGCCTTCGGAGGTTCTTCAGTCTTCTTTGGTTGCTGGGTAACTCGAAGAGATTAGTGGGTATAGTAGGGCACTGTGATACCGCCACGACTAAAAACTCGTTTCTTTCTCCCGAGTTTTCACCCTTCATTTTCGCATTGGCATTCCGTTACCGTAACGTATGTGCCACTATCGCGAAGAGAGTGCAAGGGCGCTCGGTTTCCGTTCCGTTTGTCCGTTGATGAGGATCAATTGACTAATAAACGTCTGGCTGCGGGTGCTGGAGCCTCTCTTTATCTCTCTCTCTCTTTCTCTCTCTCTCTCTCTCTCTCTCTCTCTCTCTCTCTCTCTCTCTCTCTCTCTCTCTCTCTTTCTCTCACTGTCTAAGAGCGAACGACCGAGCGGTCGTGGGGGATAAGAATAGCATCAGATGATGTACCGTCCACGTCCTTCCTCTTATTACACTAGCATTCTCTCAGCTTCCTGCACGCGCATGCGCACGCGTACGCGTAAGCGTTCGCTGACTTTTGCCGACAACGAACTTTGAGCAACGAACGCGATTCAATTGTCGTTAAAGTTACCAATCTCGTTTCATCGAACACTCCCCGTGTGTTCCCCCGTGTTCGTGTTGTTGTTCCTCTCCGTCCAGTGAAATGCGGCGAACGCGTCGAGCTAACTTCGTCGTCTCGCTTCTCCTCTCGCCTCTCGCGTTCGTCTTTCTAACTCTTTCGCTACGAAAGGCCACCGAACAGCAGCGGCCGCTCGCGAACCCATCTCTGTGTACGAACGCTTACTTGTAACGGAACGCGCACGGACAAGCAGTCCGCTGTTAAGATATTACATTGTTCGCATTGTCGTGAACAGTATTCGCGTTGATCTGTTATCACAACGGCGAAAGTAACATATATCGGTTGCAAGACCGATATTTCGTCCGATTGTTGCGCGATGCGACAGAGACACGAACTTTAGGTCTGTTCTTTATGGCCGCACCGAGGCAGATACATATTTGACACTCGATGGAAGAAAAGCAGAAAATGAAAGATCGATCGGAAAAAGTGCAGCTACGAAGAACAGACTTTCCTATTGCGATGAAGTGTACACTCGCGCGATGTGCGCTTCTCGACGAGCTCCGCCATAGCGAAAGGGTTAAATGACAGGGTCGGCTTAGCAGATCTACAGATATAATCTAGCTCTCTCGCGATATCTCTTCATTTCTTTCTCTCTTTCTCTTTTTTTTCTCGACACACAGGTGTTACAGCCATTCAGCGTTAGATTCAATTTCCGTCGTTTCGTTGCCGCTTGGAAGTTAGTCCGCGCTCGTTTGACAACGGCGATCGCACGACACGCGCGGATATGGCGACGTGCTTGTACAACGAAGAACGACCAGTTCTCTCTCTCCCCCCTCTCTCCCTTCTCGTCCTTTCTGTCTTTCTCCCCCTCTCGCCCCCCTCCTCTCTCTCTCTCTCTCTCTCTCTTCCTTTTTCTCTCTCGGCCAGACGATGACTACGGTGCTCGCGCGAGCTTCTCCTTCGTGGACCGGAGCGAGCGATTTTTACAGGATGACCGGACTCAGCTCAACTCGCGTGGCGTCACGGAGTGCCGCGACGCCGGATGATGGTTGTTGCGGTGATGACGCCTCGCGCGGCGACATTGCGCCGTGCAACAGTCATCGACGTCCGCCACATATTCGCCACGCTTCATCTGATGCGCGATCGAGTTACAGAGCGACCGTGGACAACGTTTCCTGTCGCACCTGACCTCGCCGTTCTGAAACATACAGAAAGGAGGGACCCCATTACGGTTGTGCTGTACGTTTGCCGTGCGAACACTTCGAACGTAACGCGCTCGGATCTGTATTACTTGAGACCTTTCCGCGAGAAAAACGTTTACTTCTTGCAAAGGAGAGATAAAAACGTCGCTAAGTACCAATACTACTACACTGTTATCAATAGTGATATTATATATCAAGCACCACCCGCGGTATTATTTTTTGCTCTTTCACATCTCGTTGGTCGCGAGTCATAATCGAAATCACGATCGCGTGATATTTTTACCTGAATTTTATATAAGATTAAGATATACGTGCAAATACGACGAGCGACAGGTTCTTAAAGTCCCTTTTTTGTATCTCGCGTATTTTTGCTCTTTTACATCTCGTTGATCGCGAATCATAATCGAAATCATGATCGCGTGATATTTTTACCTGAATTTTATATCTTAATCTTAAAAAGGTGCAAATACGAGAAGCTCGTAACGGTCCCTTTTTATCGTATCTCGCGAGTTTTGACCAATTGGGGACTTTTGCCGAGAGAGTTTGGATACTTTCAATCGTATCAATTTAAAATGTGAGGTACGCGACTTCCTATGCAGTATGAAATAAGTGACAACTGTATGCTGAAATATACCGTTAGAGAAGTAGGAAATTACGAGTAACGAGAGACGGTGTCATTTTTTGACACGCGAGTATCGGATACGACGATACAGCAGCTTGTACAATGTCTCATTTGCTCATAATCGTCACGATTGACAATTCTTTCCCGCTGTATCATCTGTAGTTATTTTCTTTTCTTACAGTTCCCGTTTCTTCTTCCTCTCAGCCTTTTTCCAATCTCCCTCAATTAAAAGGCCGTGAATAATGCGGCTAAAAAGAACAGATCTTTGATATATTTAGCGAGAGTGATACTTGTCTACCAGGGAAAAGGACAGAACGCGAGTACGAGAGAGACACCAACTCGACGGACCGATGCAACGGAGCTTCGTTGAGATACAAAATCCGTTTCTCGCCATTGAGACGATTATTTTTTGCACCAGTTCGTGACGTTGCGACGCGACACGACGCGACGCAAGCCAGCCCGAGGCCGCGGCGTTCCATTTTCATCGTAATGGATGGATCCTATAATGGTCGGGCCAAGCCGACGAGTCCGATTAAAGGTTTTCTCCTTAAAAGTTTCTCGACGTGTTCGCGCGATTGGATATCGCTGCGAGACCACGATCTTTTAACCGAATGAATAAACAATAGGGGAAAAAAAGAGTAAATCGCGTCCTAAGACTTCTGTTTGCCGACAAGACGCACATAAGGCTACGCTCACGTCTGGCTCGTCTGGCCAGACTTTGATCGAGAATTCGATCAGGCGCGTCTGCAACGAAGAAACCGCGAAGAAGCGTCTTCTCTCTTATATGAGCGATCTCTGTCTCGGACGAGTCGCGCGTCACTTTCTCGCAAGCGGCCCGAACTCGAGAACACTCCGGTTACGGCGGGAAGAATACGTCAACGAAGCAGAGTTGCATTGTTAGAAGCAGGTCGAGTTGTAACGCTAAAATACGCTAACACTCGTCAACCGATGACGTCCGTCCTCGCTCGCGGAGAAGCTCGGACGTCGCGAGCGACGCGACCGAATTCTTACCTTGCAACGGCACTTGACGCACTTCATCTCGCCGTGTGAGTGTACTCGAGGATGCCATTCCATGCCATTCTCGTAGGGCCCGCCGACCGGGTACTTGCATCCTCCGGAAGCGAGTATCTCTTCCGCGGTATGCCGTGTGGACGGTAAGGCCTGATCTCTCGGTAGGCGCGCGGTGTCGTTTGTAACTGCTGCAGCAGCGGCAACGGCGGCGGCGGTGGCGGCTACGTTGCGAGGCGTCGTCGCCGGGCACTGCCTGCAGCAGGCTTTCTTGTCCGGCCTGAAGGCGATCTTCTCGTCGCACTCGAGCGGCGGGCACTGCACCCGCGGGCATTTTACTTCCAACGTGACAGCCTGCGAGACAAATGGATTTCCGATGTAAATTCCGCGACGCGAGAGAGCTGGTGACTTCGACCTCTCGTACGGTGCGCGCCACGCCGTGCCGTGCAGCGCGCACCAGCGCGCGCGGGTTGTCGCTCTTTTATTCACCTCGCGCCTCATACTTCGCGCGTCGTATCTCCCCCCCCCTCTCTCTCTCTCTCTCTCTCTCTCTTTCACTCTCTCTTTCTCTCGCGCGAGAAAAAGGACCAATCATCCACTCATCTAGTTCTTTCTCGGTCTCCGTTACGATCCTCGCAGCTTTGGAAGCCTTACAAACGTACAAAACGATACCTTAATCGGCACATCCCACATGCTGATGATGCATGTCGATCGGACGAGACTTTACGCGACCGAAAAATGCGTAGGCGGTGCGCGTACGTACGCGTAGGCAAGCGCGTTCGTTCGCATTGCGTAGGGTTAAGCTTTCCGCGAGCGCGGAAAAGGAGAGAGGACTACGGGGAGAGAGAGAGAGAGAGAGAGAGAGAGAGAGAGAGAGAGAGAGAGAGAGAGAGAGAGAGAGAGAGAGAGAGAGAGAGAGAGAGAGAGAGAGAGAGAGAGAGAGAGAGAGAGATACACGACGAAGTAGCAAATAGGGAGGTGAAACGAGGAGAGCAAAAATAATATTTCCTGGAAAATTTTAGAAAACGATCATTGCAGAAATCGCTCAGGTCTAGGAATTCATCTAGGAAAGGTTGTTCCGACTTCTTGCTAAGTTAACTGATAGTTAAATCATATGTATGTCTGTCTTCGTTTAAATTGAAGGAAAAACAAAGATAAACATATGATTTAGCTATCAGTTAACTTACCAAGAAGTTGGAACAACCGGCCCTAAGTATAGTTTATTGTAATATGTACACTCGTTTTCTCGGATATTATTCGACTTCGATCGCTCGAGATAATTTCAACAATCGATCGAGCGTTTACACTTACACACATACACATATACACACACGCGCGCGCGCGTACACACAGGTTTTTATTGTTAGAAACTGAAGAAACGGCATTGGATTGTTTCCTTCCAAGGCAAACGTGTATTTCGTTTCATTAACGGTCTAAGAGATAAAAGAAATGAGAAAACACTCACATCGCAAGTGCAGACCGCGCAGGTGTCGAATCCTACCGGCGGTAAATACGGATGCCAGGACGATCCTGCCAAGTGATATTGCCCAGCCAGCGTGCAACCTTTCATGGTGTTGCTCTTGACTATTGTGTTATTTACCGCAGCTACCGCTGCTGGATGTTATTAAAAAAGAAAGCTTTAAACATCGAGATAAGACGATACATTTAGACGTAGAATTTCCTCGAGGACAAATTCGTCTCCATTATGAGATGATGAAACCGTCAAAGGACGCTTTAGTCGTCTTTCCAAGATTAAAACTTTGTGCTTTATGAAATTATTAAGATCCTTTTATATGAAATTCTGATCAAATATTCTTGATTCGTGTCACAAAATGAAATTAAATAATTTCAGCAAGGGAGAGAGAGAAGGCGGGAGGGGTGGGGGCAAAATATGAGAATTTCCTCACCCACACAAATAGGACAGCAATGGCCGGCCACTGACTGCTTCACCTGCTTGCCCGGGGTGCAAGGGAGCGCCGGGCAGGGCACCGAGTCACACTGCGCCAAGCCGCGGTAGCAATGGCACATGGAACAGGGGTCCGTGTTGGACGTCCACTGCGTGCCCTCCTCGTAGAACCTGGTCTCGTGGAAGCATGCGCCGGTCTCAAAGTCCGACTTGGACGGTTGCAGATTGTACGCGACCACAGAAGCGACATCGTTGTCGGCGTAATGGGGCAGGCAGCTGAACGGCGCTCTAGCCTTGAAAGGAGCCTTGAGGGTGTGACTGTTTTGCTTGCTGTCGACCACCTCAAGAAAGCCAATGCCCGACTCGATTCTGTAGAGTTCCATCGGTGACAGTCCAATAACGGAACCCTCTAATGAGTAACCGGTGAACTCCTCGAGGAGTCTCCTGGCGACGGGAGCACCTTGAGCCAGCCGGGGCATCGTCTCCAAGTACAGCCGGAACGTCCGTGGCTCCTGCGAGAAACCAGCCAGCTCCAGCTCATAGTGCAAGGAACAGTCCAAGTCCACCGCGGTCCAGATCAGGCCGACCGGTCCGGGATGAGTCGGCTTTTCGTCCAATCTCCGCAGCAATACCGGTGCGGCGGTATCTCTGGCATCGGCCACAGGTCTCTCGAGCAGTCTACCGCGCAACATGGAGCCCAGGTGGCTCGCGGCCACGACGGACAGCTCTCCTTTGAAGAGCGGCTCCAAGAGCCTCGGCCCAGGACGGTCCAAGGAACCGTTCGCAAAGCCGCCGACCAACGAAGGCGTGAGATCCTCCAGCTCCATCCTCCGTTTCCCTCCTTCGTCCACCAAGGTCACCAGAGGGCTCTCTTCCTCGAGACCTATCAACTGAACTCCATAGCGCAGCGCTCCGATGCGGTCCAAGTAGGCCCAAGCCAATCCGGACGCCGCGGACGGTGTCTCCGACAGCAGCAGAGTCTGGTACATATCGCAGGTTGCGCGCGGGCCGACGGTACCGGTGAGGTGAAGAGCCTGCGGATCCTTCCGGGACATAATGCTGATGGACAGCTTGCCTCTGGTGAGAAGACGAAGGTCAGCGCCGGAGAGAGCGCTGCGCACTTCGCCAAAGTTCAGCTCGTTCGACGGTTTCTTCACGACCATTTCCTCCCGGAGGACCACATAGTCCTTCTCCAGGTGTTCCAGTTGGACGATCAACGGCACCTCCGCCACGTCGTTCGGCAAGAACAGACCGTTGAACACAAGGGACACGTGGATCGAAGGCGCCGAGACGGACGAGGCGGACACGATCGCCGTTGCTCCCGCGCCAGACATCAAGGATCGGTCGACGCCCATTGCCGGCTCCAGCAAGGAGGAGTACTGCTCGGTCGACAAGGCGCGGTACCGCGACAACTGGCCGGTCAAGCTCGCCGAGGGCTCCCAGAAGAAGGACACGTGGAGCCGTTCTTCGCGCAACAGTTTGCGATAGTCGCGCGGTACACGCCTCCACACACCGCAGAGCTTGCCGGTGACGTTCTGGTAAGAGCCACCGACCGGATCGATGGCCTGCTCCTCGAGAATGCTGCCAGATCCATCGACGAACTGTATGCTACGCGGCCGGGGCGTCAACGCGGACAGGTAGAACGAATAATAGAGGTTCTTGCGGTGGAAGGTGAAGCGACCGGTCGCCAGGTAGTTGTACGCGCTGTTGTACATCGACGTCGGGTTCGGGTCGTCGCAACGCACCGACTGCGACGTCTTGCCCGTCAGGAGAGTGCCGAAATCTGCAACGCGACAGGAGAGTCATGGCTTTTGAGAGAGAGAGAGAGAGAGAGAGAGAGAGAGAGAGAGAGAGGAGAGAGAGAGAGGAGAGTGAGAGAGAGAGAGAGAGGAGAGAGAGAGGAGAGAGAGAGAGAGAGAGAGAGAGAGAGAGAGAGAGAGAGAGAGGAGAGAGAGAGAGAGAGAGAGAGAGAGAGAGAGAGAGAGAGAGAGAGAGAGAGAGAGAGAGAGAGAGAGAGAGAGAGAGAGAGAGAGAGAGAGAGAGAGAGAGAGAGAAGAGAGAGAGAGAAGAAGAGAGAGAGGAGAGAGAGAGAGAGAGAGAGAGAGAGAGAGAGAGACTGGTTCGTTTTTGCCGGCCCGACGCGGTTTCAGGCTGTCGATAAACCGGCCGGATTATCAAGCGTTTTTCGAACGGCCTACGTCGATTTCTCAAGGACATCTTAAAGGGATCTTACGTTTCAGGTTCCGTTCTTCCTCCTCCGAGGACAGCTGCACCGGCAGATCTTGCACGATGTCCGTGCCTGGAACAAAATGGAGGTTTATGTTGTAAATGCGTGCACGAGAATACCTGACCGTTCGATTAAGATACTCCTTCTCTTTTTCAGTCGTCGCCTACTAATGCTTACGAGAGATATGTTAATATTACAGTTGAACGGGCGGCAGGAACTCCTTGAAAGCGTCTCGTGGCAGTTATGTTTGAGATCGTTTGAAGCTTATCTTCCGATGCTTCACAGCCGGTGAAACAAGCAGCGCAACATCCAAAGATAAACTCAACACTAGAACACTGCCAACTGCGGGAGACCGGTTTGCAACTTCTCTCGGAGAACTTACAGAAATGTGTAACGGTGCATTTTATATTTTTAATTGACGCACGACGGACAAAACTAAGAGGAGCAATCGTTTGTCATTCATTGCGTCATTCCTTGCGTCATTCATATTTTCCAAAAACCCGTCGGCTTGACTGCTCCGATATGGCAAGAGCTGTCGTTAATCGCCGGTAGTTCCAGTGTCGGAACGACCTTAAATATAAGATCCGGCTGTGAATGCCGTTGTCAAAGGCGCTGTTAAAGACGACTAAAAGACGTCCTACCTTTTCAGACGCGACTCCGCTAACCGTCTTTCAGGACGTCCTCAAGACGTCTTTCAGAAGTCCCTGCTACCTGACCGATACAAAGCGCTCCGATAAATATTCGTCCGGCCGATGCGCGACACTCTCGTGCCACATCCTCGCGTATTCGAAATTCTTCGCGGGAGAAAGGCGACAATGGCAGCGGCGGAGGCGGCGGCGGCGGCGGCGGCGGCGGCGGCGGCGGCGGCGGCGGGGCGGCGGTGGCGGCGGCGGCGGCGGCGGCGGCGGCGGCGACGGCGGCGGCGGCGGCGGCGGCGACGGCGACGGCGACGACGACGACGACGACGACAGCGGCGGCGGCGGCGGCGGCGCGGCGACGGCGGCGGCGGTGGCGATGGCGATGGCGGCGGCGGCGGGGACGGGGGCAGGGGAGCAGAGGGTTCTCTAAAATCGTAATTTAGGAGAAGCAATCGGAGGTTCGTCGGTGGCAACTACACCCGGTACGTATGAGCGTAAAAGGAAGCCGCGAGTCGAGTCCTTTGTGCCCCGTGTCGCGCGGCGCTTGATTCCGCGCGCTGCACACAGCCGACGGACGCGCGCGAGCGCGCGTCTCTCTCCTGCGAGAGAGACGGGCATTATAATAAAAAGAAGCAGTCAATCGCCAATCGGCGATCGTCGATCCCCATTGAGCCCGGGACTCGGGGCTACGGTATGTGGCACGGCACAGACCATAAAGAATGTCCGCGCGCGGTAGGAAAAGAGTCGGCTGGCGCCAACCACCGCTACTTTGAATGCTACTTTCATGGCGCATGCCGCGCCGGTTCAGCGCCACGGAGACGTTAATTGCCACACACGCGAGCGAAACGTACACAGCGCGCCCGGACGCGGCCCGACCAGTTCGCACTGACCAAACCGTTTCCGCCTAAGCTTAACGAACCCACCCCTCCCCCCGCTTCCCGCCGATCGAAGCGAAGCAACGATGGCGCTGGCTACAATTCCTGTCGGAACTGTTAATTGATCGTTAGATGTATAAATCAAAGAGCCGAGACGGGCGACCAACAATACGCTTAATTAGAGGGAATAATCGCGCGCGCGCGAGAGACAGACAGACAGACAGACAGACAGACAGACAGACAGAGAGAGAGAGAGAGAGAGAGAGAGAGAGAGAGACTCTCTCTTTCTCCCTTTCCCTTGTTCTTTGTAGAGTCTTGCCGAGTCGATAACGAGTCGAAACGAAATCGACTTTGAAATTGGCGCGTCGTAAAAATGGCGCTTGCAAAAGCGCCGTTGGCGGCTTTTCCACCGCCGAGCGCGTGTCTATATGTTGGTAACTCGTGCGTTTTTACACAGCAGTTTTGTTGGTATTATATTACCGAAAGTTGTTAGTGTTACCTCGGCTGACGTTTTCAACGAAGGACGATCGTTATTCAGGATTAAGGATTAACGAGGAGGGGAAAAGAGATCTAAATACCAGCCAACCCCGCTGGCTATTGAGAAACCGAACGACGAGAGATGGCGAGCGATTCGTAAAAGGTATCGAGAGCGTTCCGATCGATCGAAATTCTTTTCAGCAACCTTTTGAATAACCCGACACTCTCCTATGCGTTTCTTCTTTCCCCATTCCCTCTCCCTTCCCTTTCCCTCCTCCTCCCTCTTTCTCTCTCTCTCTCTCTCTCTCTCTGTCTCTCTCTTCGGATTACACGCCGGTAATATCTAATTTCGTCGTGTCTACCAACAGCGCCCGTAGAGGCCAGAGCTTGATTTTCGTGGTGGCGCGGCCGAGACAAGAATCGATGAGAACCAATGAAAATCGATGCGACGGTCCAATCATCGAGCTCAAGGGTCGCAATATGTTTCCCTGCGGGACGTGAAAGGAAGGCGCTACTAATTGCGGTCGGTTTCACCTTTCATCAGCAGGGGGCAACGAGCCCTATCAGACGACGGCGGCGACAACTACTACGACGACGACTACTACTACACGCCGACGATAACGACGACGATGATTATTATGGCGACGTAAGCGAAATGCTCGAGAAGGAAGAGGAGGAGGAGAAGAGGTAAGGAGGAGAGGAATTCGACGTTGCAGAAAAAGACGTCAAGCCAACGCGAGCGTTTTATCGGGACGAACGGCGCGACGTACACGAGTGCGTGCGTGCGTGCGTGCGTGCGAGTAATGAAAAATCGCTCGCTTCTGTACATTGTCGTTGTCGTTGTGTCGTTAATGCCGCTTCTCCTTTGGTCCGTTCAAATGGCAGGAATCACGATCGAATCTCGAACAAGAGAGCGAGCGAACGAGCGAACAAGCGTGCGCGCCTTCGTCGACCGAAGGCGACGCGCGAGCTTTATCAAAAGTGTCATATTAACCTAATTGATAATACGTGCGCGTTTCGCCTCGCCAATTGCCGCGCGATATGAACGCGCTCGTAAAAAACGGGTAACGAAGCGCGACTCCGTCTCGATTTATTCGGCCGATTTATTCGACTGCGGGGTGCGCACAGATGAGGGAGAAAGAGAAAAGAGAGAAAGAGAGAGAGAGAGAGAGAGAGAGAGAGAAGCAATTACAACAATTTATAAACGATTCGTACGAGATCGCTCGCTGTGTGCTCAACTCCTCCCGCACTGTACCGCTTCTCTCTCTCTCTCTCTCTCTCTCTCTCTCTCTCTCTCTCTCTCTCTCTCGCTCTCTCGCTCTCTCTTCCGACGTTCTCCGTTGCCGTTCCTCCGCCATTTACCTTCTCTCCCTCGTCCGCGTCGCGTCGTCTATTCTCATTCCCGGCCGCGTTACGCGTGATCATTACGTTATGCTAATATTTACATTTAGATTGCACGACTTAATCGAAGTGACGCCATGCGGTAATATAACCGGCGCCATGGCGTTAAACCGTGGCGTCCGTCCTCAGCGTCCCTCGCTCCGTGCCCCGTCCGTGCCCTCCTCGCCCGCGCCCGCGCCCGCGCGCGATCGTTCTCGAGGATCCGCTCTCGAGAGCGCGATCGGACGAATTTTCTTTCCCGACCGCGCGCACTACCCCTTTTTTTATTTCACATATCCGCCGACCTCCCTTTTTTCCCCCCATTGTTTGTCCCGATCTCTCTGCGCCGACGGCCGAATTGTCCCGCTCGCGACCTTCTCTCTCGTTTCTCTCTCTCTCCCTCCCTCCCACCCCCTCTCTCTCTCTCTCTCTCTCTCGCTGTTTCTGCCCGAGAGAGAGAGAGAGAGAGAGAGAGAGAGAGAGAGTCTCTTTCGTAACCCTTTTATTCTCCGGTTATCCTTATCGAAAATGCACAAGCGAGTGCAGTGACCGAGCGCGCGCACGCACGCGCGCGCTCGCGACGATGAAAGATCGCTGCTCGTGGCGTGGTTCGAGCGATCGCGAAGTCGGACGTTGGCTCAATTTGCAACGGGCATTCCTTCTCATTTTTGTGTTTCGCCGCTTGTTCGAGACAATACACGCGCGATAAATACGAAACGTTTGGCGATCCTATCGGCGTGTACCTCGAAGCGGAGAGTTTCCGTGCCAATTCGCGCTCATTACCGTCGAGTGCGCGCGCTACGCGCTGACCGACGCACGCGAACCTTATCTGGCGGTCTTATCAGTGCGAGATATACTACTTTCACTGCATCTTACGACGACGACGACGACGACGACGACGACGACGGCGGCGGCGGCGGCGGTGGCTGCGGCGGCGGCCAAATTCTTGGGGAGCGCGAGCGCGCTCCTCCGCGAGAGCGCAACAACGCGCTGCGGCAGCGCGTTCTATTTCTCCTCGCGGATCTGTCGGTATCGTGGCCGGCGGTCGCGGCGGAGAGAATGCGGATGGAATAAATCGCATAGTCCAGATACCCGAGCCTGTTCCTTTCTCGATGATATTCGAGCGAAAACGAGCCGGCCGACGCGCTCGCGCTTGAAAATCGCGCGTTTTTCGCCGTGAGTTCCCGCCGCGCGTCTCTTCCTTCTTGTCAGCCGGGAAGAAGATTGACTGCGAGAGAGCTAACGGGCCGATGAATAATCCCCGGTGAGTCGCGTGAGACTTACTGAAGTCACCGGGGCACGATTTGCAGCATCGACCTGGTAGCAGAACTGGTTCGTCGCACGTGAGCTGGGGACACTCGTTCTTGATGTTGCGACATTGAACTCTCGCGACGATTCGCTTCTTCTTCTGCACCTGGAAGCAGAAACAATGTTCGAACAGTCGCTGAGTGGAAAGCAAAGCGCACTGCGGCCCTGCCCGGGATAACATAGCGAACGTTCGGTATGCCCTTTTAATGCCAAGTTCCGTTTTCCTTCTACGAGCGTCGCGCACTCTCTGAATATCTTGCGGTGAAATTCTACTCGAGAAGCAGGCCGACTCGCTCAAATTCGACTGATTTTTCATTCAGACTGAGAGTAAGTTCTATCCGCATTTACTTTAGTTTGTCATGGGCAACATTGAAAGTTCTCCCCTCCCCCCTCCCCCATTATCGAAAATTATTTGTATTTTTTTTTTCGCTTACAATTGCAGAGTGAATCTCAGACATGCGCCATCGCAGGACAAGTTTACTCTAATCGGTCGAGGTTGAGTTCGCACTCACTCGTGCGAAGCTATAGAATTCACTCTGCAAGTTTCTGAAAGTGAAACATTCACTCTCGCGACTCCAAGTGGCGATATGTCCACTGCCGCTTCGAGCGAACTCTCGCTCGTTTTCAATGAGATCTCACTCCATGAGATCGTTTCTTTCAGCTTGAAGATCAGAAGGACGTACTTAGAATTCGATACATGTCCAGAATAGGACCCCTGAACTTCATGCTGCGACTCGCCTTTGCATACGCGATTGGGATTCAAGACACGCGGAGAGAAAAAGAGAAGATCAGTCCGCGTCGACCGGGGAAGAGGGTAGGCGGAAATTCGCTCACGAGAAACGACATTTCCTCCCTCTGAAATTTTTTTTCGATGATCCCCGTTTCGAAGCCGTCCGCTCGTCGTCCTCCATTCCGCCGTTTCGCGCGCGACTACATCTTCAGCTTCACTTCGTTCGCGTCACTCTCTCGGGCGCATCTTGACGCGACGAAACGGCGCGAGGAGGCGCGGGACGAGAGAGAAAGAGAGAGAGAGAGAGAGAGAGAGAGAGAGAGAGAGAGAGAGAGAGAGAGAGAGAGAGAGGGAGAGAGAGAGGGAGAGAGAGGGAGAGAGAGAAAGAGAGAGAAAGGCAACGCGGCGATACAGTATACGCGGCTGCTAAATCTGCGGCGCGAATCGCTGCAGTTGCAGAGGGGGAGGAATTCAGCCGCGGGTCTTGCAGAAACCGAGTGCGCCGGCATTCCCGAGGCGCGAAACGCCTCGACGCGCATTCGACGTTGACCCCCGACGAAAGGAAAGGACCGCGGTTAATCGCTCGGGGTCGCGCGCACGCACGGCAGCCGTGTAACGCCGCGATATCGGCCGTCGTGGCCGACAACGACGACGACGACAAGTTGCCGCGTCTGTTGACTCGTCGTCGGGTTAATCGACTTCCTCATAAATCCGCGTCATTAAGGGCTTCTTATGATCGTGTTGACTCCGGGCCGACATTACCCCGGCGACTCGTACGTGAAGAGACATGGCTTCTCTCACTGCGACGTGTGTGATTCACACGACGCGTCTGCTTCTTCCACAACGAAGACCGCGACCTATCAATAGCTCCTCGTGTACACTGAAGAGGGACTGTCATTCCTCCGAAGTCTAAAAATAGAGGTCGTGTTCGCGTTCGCGTCCACGAGAGCCGAACGTAATATAGCGTGCCGCCGCCACGCCTCTGCTCTCTTGCTTGCTTGCTTGTTTGCTTGCTTGCTTGCTTGCTTGCTTGCGTGTTTCTGTAGTCCATCTCTCTTTCCCCGGCGGCATCGAATGTAATATATCTTTCGGAAACGGGAAATACTTGTCGATTCTGTAAGGCGCTAAAGTTAAAACACGGCGAGCACCGAGCGCGATTGCAGATCGTCCGAGCGCGCGCGCGCGCAAAAAAAAGCGCGTTCTCAAGGCTTGATCGACTGTTGATCGGCCTAATGTGTTTATCAGGAGGATGATAATGCTCGCGGCGTGCGGACGGACGCGCTCGCGATTGTCAAGGTTATCGATATAAGGCAAAATTCGCCTCGACACTTAATCGATACAAAGAATACTCGGCGCGGGGTCAACGCGTCAATTTAGTAGCGGTTGTTTGTATTCAAGCTTTTGTTTATCCAAGTCGAACGTGTCGATAATAAATATTATGTCGGTCTGCGAACTGCCTCGAAAACGCGCGTGCCCGCCGTGGAACGTTGAGCCGTGGTGCTCGTTCCCGATAAATCTGACTCAGATTTTCGTCGAAATCGACTTTACGATTCTCACGAAAAACAGAGCTACTTCAATCGAAACCGCACCTCCCCCCCCTCCCTCTCTCTCTCTCTCGCCCCTCCTCGCGATCGCTTCTATTATTAGCACGTTATGAGATAAAAAGCAAACTGAATCGCTAGACTCTGTGGACTTTAACGATCTACGAGGAATTTAATGACATCGCACACGTAATGATCGCGCATCTCTCCTCGCAACTGTACGATTAATTTTCTCTCCTCGGCAGGCACATCGAGTATCGCGTTTCATTAGCATTTACCGGCTATTTATCGCGTGCGCGCGCGCGCGCATACGCACGTACGATTGCAACGTTTGGCGCAATAAATTCCTCATCATTTCCGTTAAATTTTTTTTTCAACAATCGAGTGCGATCGATATTCTCACACTAATTACTGCGCAGCCTGAGTGACAGCTCTTGGAAGTCGATCCGACGTGAAGGATCATTTATTTTTACGTGTTTCCATTGGCCATCTCGATCTCACCTGCTCGGGCGGTTATCGCGAGCGGGGGTTACGTATTTTCACAATTTCTACGTCACGAGGGCCTCGGGTAATGCGAGAGATTGTGTAACACGCCGAGATTACGATGTGGGAAGTGTGACGCTTTCGAATAAACAACGTAACGGTAGCGCAACTTCTGTCGAACTAACGAATGAGTGACGTAGCGATACTCCAACTTCTGTTACATTAACGAGTTGGTGCTCTTTAATTACGGGGGAGTCACGTGGTCTCTCGGGACCCCTGTGAAATAAGCATGTCGAGACTGCCGAGCGATCCTTTGACGTGAGGGTATAAACCGATCGAGAGAGACTTTGCGCATCATTTCCTCGGGTTTTCCGAAGCGATTGAAGCGTGCGTGAGAGACGCGTCACGCCGCTTTGCAGACGCGCGATCGTTGTGCTGGCTTCGTCTCGAACAATGACAGCACCCGAGGCTGTTGAAGATAAAACTACCACACTATCTCTCTCTCTCTCTCTCTCTCTCTCTCTCTCTCTCTACATCTCTCTATTAGTTTTCCACGAGAAAGACAGTCTGCCCACATGTCCGATAGATCGACACCCACCGATGTAACGAGTGAGAAAACTTGCTTTTTGTTTCAGACCCGACTGAATTTTGTTTCCGCGAAACGAAAATGCATTCTTCTGTCTCTCCGGCTTGCCGAACGCGACGCGGTGCGCAATTTGTTTGAAGACGACATCGCGAGTGCGCTACCGAAGTGTCGAAGTTTATCGTGTTTCTCGTTAAACCGTCAAATTATCGTCGAAACGATCGCAGTCGCGAGTGCAGTGCAGCGAAGTGAAGTGAAGTGAAGTGAAGTGAGCGAAAAGCGGACGTGGGACGACGACTGACTGGACGTGGAAGGTGAAGAAGGTGGTGGACCTGGACGTCAACGCGGGACATCAACGCAAAATGGTGAGTGGATATTTTCAATCACGAATGCACCGAAAGCGTCCTATTTATATGACGCGCGTAACGTTCCGATAAGGAATGTCAATGAGGACAGTCATTGCGCGAAGATTGCACGTTTTAACATCAGTGCGACATTATTTAGAGAAGACTTCCCTGACAGGGTTATTTAACCAATTATCCGTGGGCTTTCTGCCTAATTGACGTTGCCGCAGTCACTTCGAACAACGACGACATGACGTGTTCCGCGCGGCGCGGATATTCGCGAGCGAATTTTTCCCCGAGTTTGTTTGTCCCGGATTCAAGCTCGCACACAGTCCCTGAATAACGGCCTCTGGTGTTTCGACATTTGATACATTAGCTTTATAGCCAATATCGTAGTATTTATCTAACCTAGACGCTAAATTATATACCACGGGAGACGCGAACGAGGGGACCGTAATTATAAGCGTGTATACGCGCGCTCTTATTTCTGTTATATCAGCGCATTGATAGAAACTTACTTACTTACTTTATTCCCCCTTATCTTTTTTTATATGAATAACATTTTACGACGGGCTCTCGCGCGCGCGTGTCGACGACGGGAGCCGGCTTGAGCTAAAGAAAAGAAGGAAAAAAGAAAGATGGAGAAGAAAGAACAAGAAAAACGTAATCGGGAACGAAAAATCATAATAAGCACCCAAGCGTGATTATAGCGTATCCCTCGACAATAAGCTCGAAGGAGAGTGCAAAGGAGACAGAGATAGAAACAGAGACAGGCAGGGGGGATGGAGGGGGAGGGAGGGAGGGAGGGAGGGGGAGAGAGAGAGAGAGAGAGAGAGAGAGAGAGAGAGAGAGAGAGAGAGAGAGAGAAGAGAGGCCCCAATCGCACGAATCACATATTATTCTTTATTCATGTATGTTAATAAATTCTGGCGTGAGACTGATTGTTTACCAGAAATTATTATGCACGCGAAATATTAAGCACGGCATACGCGAAATGTCATGCGGCTGTCATTTTCACGCGAGCGCGATCGGCAGAGTGTTAATCTCAAACGCGGCGATCCTTCCGCGCCCAGCTCGCTCCTTTTGTGCGTCGAGATTCCGCGATGCGTTTATGATGCAAACGATCGTACGGCGACTTATCATTATCCTCTCACACGGATACACGCAGCGCTCTGATACGTACCGGTATGCACTCGCACTTGATGCAGTACATGACTCCGAAAGGTGGGCCCAGGTCCGCGAACCACGTGGTGCCCAGCTCGCGGATCTGCTTGCCGAAGTTGCATTCTGAAAGCAAAGAAACGATCAATTTTTCGACGCTGTTATTCACGCGAAACGTTCGAATTTAATAAACGTCGAGCCCGAGGCGATCGCTTTCCCTCTCTCGCTCGTGTTCTTTCACCGATAAAAGACCGCGGCGGTCTGACGAGAGACGGTTCAAACGCACGTTCCACGCAGCGTAGCCTCGACGATCGAACGAAACGGAAAGCTCGATCGAACTCCGTCTCGACCATTCTCATCGCAAATGGACTCGAGGCATCTCTGAGTTCGATGACGTTACGCCGTGATGAAGATCGTTCAAACTATCATTTCTTGTAACGCTTTGACCGATGAATCGTCTTAAAACACGATGAGTAGCCACGAGTGAGAGAGAGAGAGAGAGAGAGAGAGAGAGAGAGAAAGAGAGAGAGAGAGAGAGAGAGAGAGAGAGAGAGAGAGAGAGAGAGAGGAGAGAGAGAGAGAGAGAGAGAGAGAGAGAGAGAGAGAGAGAGAGAGAGATGCATAACAATTTCCTCCATGTGGGAAAATTGACCTTGAAACAGTCGGTAGCAAAGTTCACGCAGGTGAAATGGAAAGGTTCTTTAAGGTGCAAACACGTCTCGTTTTTTCCTCGCTGACGCACTTCCGCTGCAACGAATCATCGACGAATCGGTCGCAAATCGAAACGGCTGTAACGTAATGCGGTCGGTATGTACGTCGGCATCGCACGCATATTCATTCGCATTCGTCGATAATATGCGTCGCGCGTTCATTCAAACCTTCAAACCGCGGTTAACCGTCGTCGTCGTCAAGCGGCACGTCGGCGAGGCGGCGCGTAAGCGTTTTATCTTACAGCGGTCGACGTAAAAATCCGGCGCGTTCAAGTACGAACGCGACCGATTGACACACGTCACTCTCACGACGCCGCACAGTGGGGTACGAAACGGTCGAAAACCGGACATCGCCTTGTGCATTGTTATTTTTCAATAGAACAATTCAAAATTTATAGTATAAATAGGTAAGGTAATGCGTAAAGGATATATCAGTATATACGAGTATATACGTATTATAACATCATTTTTTAATCTACAAGCTGTTCAAAAGGTTTATCAAACCCAAAAAAATTTATTTTCTATACTTTATGCGTATTTCATAGATATATTCTGTATATTTCTATATAATTGGGTGTGTGTATTTATAGTATACTGAAGGCGTCAAATGCTTTAAAAACAAGGTATTTTATTTAAAAAATATTTATTTTCTTCTTTTCAGTTTTTAATTTTTAATTTTTTTATTTTAATATTAATATATATTATTATATAAATATTATATAAACATTTTTATCTAATTTAAACTAACTCGTCTACTTACTTCTCACATTTTAGGGATACATATCCATTGTAAATTATGAATTTATTAGGAAATATGAACTTGAAATGAAACTGAACTTAAAACTTCATACATTTTTGTACCAGAGAACCAATTCCCCTGAGCAATGCAACAGTTAAAAGACAAATTTTTAATCGAAGTCTATTTTCAACATCCGCCATTTTGTAAAACATTTTTATAATTTATTTTTAAGTTTTTGGTTGTTATAAGAAATGCCCAACCTTTTATTTCTGCTTTGTTTCATCTCAATATGATGATTTTTGGCTGAGTTATCGCTACTGAAAGATGTTACAAAATTGTGCTAAAATTTAGTAGTCCGTTTTTTGCAGATGAGTGTATATTGCTAAGTTTTGCTATATTATGTTTAACAAATCCGTTGCGTGCGAAATCTTGCAGTCTTGCTCCTTTAGATCAATGAAATGCCATTCATCAGACATTTCACTGATCGATCATGCGACAATGCTCGTTTTTTATAGATAAATGACAAGAAAAATTTTAGGAAACACAAAAGTAACAATTTACAAGTACTTAAATAACAAAGAAAAGTTACAAATATACTATATATCTAATAACAAGTAACAAGTATACGAGAATTTTTCGATAGCAGTTTACATATTTTTTATTAAAAACCTTGTATTTTTTATTTAATACGTTGTTCTTTTTATTAAATTTTTGTATATTTCGTATGTATTTTTATAGAATTTTATGAGTTCAAAATACTAGAAACATATCCAACTATATATAAATATACAAAGTATATTCATGAAATGTATGTATTTTATAATATTTTATAATATTTTATAAAAAACAAATTTTTTGTGAATTTAGTGTACCTGCGTTGAACATCCTGTATGAAAATAATAAAATTAAAATAAACACTCATTTACTCCTCATTCAAGTTTGTTTAACATAATATAGAATAATTTCGAACTCTCTTATACAGCTTGACTGTGTCATTTTTATAACCGTGTTTATAACTTTCAATGGAATTTTCTCATTTTAGGCGGGTCGTGACGGGTGAACTATGGAGGGTTTTTGTAAACTAGACGCTTTTAGCTATCGATTGCTGTATCGTACGTTTCGGACCGTTTCGAACCGTAAACTTTTTGGTAGCTTGAAGTATTGAATCCTGATCGCATGAATTCTATTATTTTAGATATATTTGTTATGCATATCCAGATACTCTTTTAATATGACGATTTAATCTTAATATCAAGTTTGAACATTACTTTTTATGTTGCAAAAATTTCAGCTATTGCCCTTGTATAGTTTTAATATGATAATTCTCTAACGCAATATGTGTCGAAACGATGGATCCTCACCAGTTGCACCAAGTGTGAACTTTGTTAAGTAATTTCAGTAGGAATTTCAATCATATTCGATAACTGAAACATATTTTTAAATAGACTGAAGTATAAAGAACAAAAAAACATACCAAAACTGGGCACTTTTATAAATTTAATTTTTTGGCTCGAATGTCCGGTTTTCGGTTTTCTTTCGCCCCACTGTGCGCCGTCACGACGGCCGAGTCCGTGTTAGAACGTCGGAAATAATAAAACTTCCGAATGAATATCGGACGCTTCAGGCACAGTGCGAAGTGCAAGACGAAGAGGTTTCGGAGGAATTCAGCACGCAACATTGTGTCCCAAGTCGAGACGAGGGAAGAGAAAGTGGGAGAGATTTGAAAGCACAGCGGGAAGCAAAAAGTAGAGCGGAGTTTGTTACGTATGAACAAAATTTATTGCGAAATGAATAATACATAATCACGCGCTCGACTAATTCCACCGATTTCCCGCTTACCCTCTCAGCAATGTCCATTTTTTCTTACATCACGCGCGCGCGCGCGCGATATTTCTGTCTCTCTCTCTCTCTCTCTCTCAGATATTTTCTGCAAAATTTCCAAGATTTAACAAAGCGCGCGCGAGAGAGAGAGGATGCGTACGAGCGTGCGTATGAGATAGAACAAGAGGGACGAGAGCGGGAGAGAGAGACTTGGCCATGCGCAAGTTAGGGAAAGGGAAATGGAGAGGCTCGTTTTGCACGAGGGCATTGCACCGCTCGCACGCGCGCGCGTGCATACACGCTAAGTCGTTCTAATCGCAAAGCCGGCCCTAAGTAACTAGGAGAGTCCAAGAGAGCTACACGCTAGTGTAGCATCGAAAATATGCGAGTCACGCGGAGTGTAGCATGGTGTGTAAGGTAAATCGTACAACTCTCTCTCTCTCTCTCTCCTCTCTCTCTCTCTCTCTCTCTCTCTCTCCTCTCTCTCTCTCTCTCTCTCTCTCTCTCTCTCTCTCTCAACAGCGATCTGACGACCGTGATGTTTCCCGCCCCGCTTTTCTTCCGTTCGATATATTGCGGCGCCTCGCTCGCGGTGCGACTTCACATCTCGCGACGTAAGACGCAACTTGGAGCGTCTGTACCCCCCGTGTCTGTACTCCTGAAGGGCAAGGGCCGATTCTATCGCACATCGTACGCTGTTGTAGAGCAACCTCAACCGCAAGCGCATTTCAGACAACTCGAAAATTTCGCAGTTATTAGGGGCACCAGCAAGTCTTTTCGTTTTTCCATGTTTTTCACTTGATTCAAACGCTGCCATTTTCCAGGGGTAAGTTCGATCTTAATAAAAATTGATATATACAATAAAAAAATGTTGTTAACTGATCTGGAATTTAAATTAATTCTGAATTGAAATTAAGAATCCATACTATAACCACGGAAATTGAAGGCTTTAACCCTTTGCGTCACAGCGGAACACATGTATCCCGCTTATATTTTCTTCATTTTTCGATTATATTTCATAGAATTCATCAATTTTAATGATTCTTTTTTGCTTATCCACTATTTGAATACTTAATTATGATAAATGTTCATTGATTTCATCAATATTGTTTATATTTTCTTTGTTATGAACTAAGACGAAAAAGCGTTTTTAGAATAAATTCGTTCCTGAAAAAAAAATTCTCCGTAAACATATTATTTTTTTCATCTAAATTTATGTTTCTGAGGTCGCTGATTATTAATCCACTATAAGATTTTGGTATATTTTCTTGTTATAAACAAAATATTGAAGCTAAATTCCGAAAATTTGTAGAATTGTGCTGAAAAGTTGATTCTGAAAAGTTATTCTAAGTATTGTTTTTCTCATAAAGAAGCAGTTTTCTATATTACATTTATCATTTTGAAGTCGCTGATTACGAATCCATTGAATAAATTTTTGTTATATTAATATTTTTCATGATATAAACAAAATATTGAAGAAAAACAAAAAATGTGGAATAGTGTTGGAATTCGATAATCTACAACATTTTTCTCTTTACATTCATACAATTTACTTTACATATTACAGTCTTGAATGCGTTACATATGTGCAGATAGTTCGAAAATTTGTCGAATATTTTGCTATAAATAATTTATTTATTATTATTCCAACAAATGATTTTTCTTTGCAAAGGAAGCGACACATAGTTCTATATAAATTTGGATGTGCTAAACACGAATGTGCTATTAGAATTGATCCAGGAATTCAATAAAATGCGAAGAATAATAATTTTTATACGGATTCGTCAACTAAATATCCTTTCAAGCCTCTATATTGCGTTTCCCACCTTGGATCGCATTGTTTTGAAATCCTGATG